TTTTTTTGGTTTTTCGAGACACGGTTTCTCTGTGTAGCTTTGGAGCCTATCCTGGCACTCGCTTTGGAGACCAGGCTGGCCTCGAACTCACAGAGATCCGCCTGCCTCTGCCTCCCGAGTGCTGGGATTAAAGGCATGCGCCACCAACGCCCGGCTGGGAGCGCGTGTTTTGAAGGGAGCGCGAGCGTCCTCTAGCCCAGGGAGGGTGATTCTTTGAACAAGTTGGCTTGGCAAAATCCTATTTTCGGGTGGTTTAAGGCAACTAATGATTGTAAAATTTGAGAATTGCTTGGCAATATTTTAATGCTACAGACATGTCCCAGTTTGGTTTTCTAACTGTATTACACCTAGTGAAACTTAGAAGACCAATAAGGTGGGGTGGTGGCGAGGGAATTGTCTTTTCTAGTATATTGCAGTCGTGTTGCACTCTTCTGTCTACGTGTGTGTGTTTCTTTCGTTTGTTTGCTTGCAATTAAAAACTTAAGGGCTGAATCTAGCTTAAAGACTGCACAGGTTTTTAACATCATGAGCGTTTGACGATAAGCACAATCATACTGTACTGGGCCATTTGATGTCAGTAAAGCGAGTGGGACGCTGTGAGATGGACAGGTATTTCACATGTGTGCACATACACAGTTATGAAAAGCGATGCTTTTTAAATAGTTGAAAGTGGGCAAGATAACAGACTCCTGAACTGAATTAGAATTGCATGTCTCAGTTTTGTTGTGCAACCACCAGGATTGGATTGTCTGTGGCAACAAGGAAGAAGGACCAGCTCCACTCTGTTGCCACTAATAGCTTATAGGGTTCTATTTCCCCTTGGGGAATTTCAGGTTAACAGTATGAAGCAGAGGAATGGTTTATTAAAAGACATTTTATACATGGATTTTAAGCAAGGGGTTAACAGAGATGTTCAGGGAAAGCCTAAGATTTATTTACTTCTCATGTATGTATATACGTTCAGCCTGAATGCCAGAAGAGGGCATTAGATCTCATAGATGGTTGTGAGCCACCATATGGGTGCTGGGAGTTGAACCTGTGACCTTGGGAAGAATAGCCAGTGCTCTTAACCTCTGAACAATCTCTCCAGCCTCGGGTGTGAGCTTCTTAAAGGAGAGTTGCACCTACATCACATATGTATATAGTAGATATACATTTTTGTGGTACATCTCATATTTATCATATATATATATATATATATATATAATTATACATGACATGTATATTGCTGTGACATTTAATTTTCAGAAAAGTAGTATGTTTATCTAAGGAATTACATAAACATGAGGTCAAGGTTGATTGTGACAGCAGAAGGAATAAAAACAAGAGTCCTAGATGACAAAAGTCCCACTCAGCATGTAGTTTTTCTGCCCATTAACCTCTGCACTTCCTTTCCCTTATCTTCTCAGAATACTAACTCTTAAATGAATCTGATTTGCTTCCAACTCTCATTCCCTGAATATTGGCTTTTAAGCATGTAGCAGATGAACTTGGGTCTGGTAACATTTCTTCGGAACAATTGCATTAGTTACTTTTCTACTGCTATGATAAAATACCATGACCAAGGCACCTTAGAGAAGGAATGGTTTATTTGGGCTTACAGTTCCAGAGGGCCAGGAGTCCATCACAGGTCACAGTGGTGAGCATGGCAGGCATGGTGACTGGACTAGCAAGCTGAGAACATCTTGAACCTCATGTAAGAAGGAGAGAGAGAGAGACACAGAGAGAGAGAGAGAGAGAGAGAGAGAGAGAGAGAGAGAGAGAGAGA